TACGAACTTTGATATTATTCTGTTTATTCACTGATGCAATAATTATAAATGTTTTGATTGGTCAATTTTAATATGTTTAATCAACATCTGTTTATATAAATATAATTAATTTATCAAATGAATAACAATATGTAATGTCTGGTCACATGACTATATATTTTAATTAGTATAGATAAAATTATACTTCTCTTCGGCTTTGACCACTACATTTTCGCTCATTTTGTTTTGTTTGCATCAATGGATTAAAAGGTTTAAACATCAGTGTTGCCAAAATAATAAATTAAATATGCTGATAACGAAATACCAATTTAAAAAAAAAATTGTCTATGTCTGTCCCTAAGGCCGTGATTCTTTCGGTTAATCTTCGGAACGGGTGGACCGATTTTGACGGTAGCTGGTGGGTCGCGGACGAGAGCGAAAGCGTACCCGTGGCCCCATCCCGATGCGTTAGAGGAATAAAGAGGTTTAGTGGGTATGCCTCCGCTATGGAGGAGAATCCCACATAACTACCGCGTCCCTCCTGGGGCGCGGAGTATACATAAAGCATTCCTCTCTGGAGAAAAAAAAAAGGAAGGTAGCTGGTGCACGCGAGCATATATTTTTACTCTGTGCTGTAGATGTCACGGGAGACCGCTACTGAATATAAGTCGTCGAATAAATAATTAAAAAGGTGAGTGTTTTAATTTTTAAATCTGTCTACCAGATCGGTGCATACTGCTACGCGGAGTTGGGTACAATGATAAAGCTTAGCGGTGCTGACTACGCGTACATTATGGAGACATTTGGGCCCTTCGCCGCCTTCATCCGGCTCTGGATAGAATGTATGATAGTCCGGCCCTGCTCACAGGTAAATACTACTATTCTTACGATTTAAGACTGACTATTGTTAGGAAGAAAATCCGACACTGTGCCGGTGTATCGGCGCAACATTAGCCTTATTAAAATGTCAACGTTTATGTCCCCTAACTAATCAATCTGACATTTGACTGGTTAACGAAAGCGCGACATTCGCGCTAAAGGATTCTAACTAAAAATTTCTAAATACAAATATCGATCTAAAGACCTTGTTAATTACAGAAAGATCCAATATATTTCTACTCATTTCATAGAAAATAATTGGAATAATTCTATATTTAATCTCAAAGATTAAATATTGATTACCAGGTTATGATTATGGTGAACAGGGTTGGTATTTCTATCGTTAGATCGGTTAATTTAGTTAAATAATTGCTCAAAATTTATTTTCCGGTACGGCAACACCAGATATCCACTAGCGCGATTTACCGCGCAACTCTGACTTGACTAGTATTTATGTACCATTTCCATTGATCTGCCTCGATTTATCTTATTTACAAACGTGCCCTAACAGTTATTTTATGGCAATAAAGAGCGGGAATCAATGTTTGAACTCCATAAAGTTAGATATCGATAGTAAAAGGATTTCTTTTATTGCAGCGAAGCTTTTATTTGATTGCATCAAGATATTGTCGTTCTCAGAGGATTCGCGTATTGAATTTGAAGACAAGCTTTAAAGATTTTATTTAGTGTTAGGTCGCAATAAATATTGTTTTTTTTATATCATAAGGTGGCAAACGAGCGAGCGGCCACCTGAAATCGCTGAAATAGCGAAGTGACCGTTGCCCATAGACATACGCAATTGCATATGCGTTGCCTACCTTTAATCGACAGAGAAGAGGATGCACAGAAAGAAAACATTTCCATGCATCCTCTCATCCGGAAAGTCCACTTCCACTTCCCATCCTTTCCTTATAAGAAAATGGGTGGAAAGGGAAAGAGGGCTAAATTATCATCAGACTGTACGCGGAATAGCTTCCACTCGAGGCCTCTCCTGTGTGGTCGTGGTATTGCACCGGGCGAGCCGGCAAAATTCGTGCGAAGATGTTAAAGCGGGCTCTACCACTGTCAAATATAAATCAATAGACTGGCCATAACGAACCAAAAACACTACTAGTATTATAGATACTAATGATTGACGATTATATGAAAATATACATAAAAATAAATATAAGAAGTCTGTTGTCCGTTCTATAATTATTATATTTGAATATCTTTGACAGGCAATAGTCGCACTGACCTTCAGTGTATACGTCCTCAAGCCGATATTCCCAGAGTGTGACCCGCCAGAGGACGCCACCAGATTGTTGGCGGCATGTTGCATATGTAAGTACTACACGACCACAATAACATAATACCTATGTACAATGATATAACATGCTTATGTCACTGACGGATCAGCAAAGCCACTTCGTAATGTCCAAGTTAAGTTCGCTAATTTGCAAGATCTCGTGTTATAGTTGGCATTGTAACCGCAGAATTTTACGCTTAAAGCGACATTTCATTGTTTTGTGATTTCTGTCTAACCGTTCCGAGCCTTCATAAAGTTTGAATTGTTTTATATATGGAGTACAGACAGAAAACTATTGCTTGACTTCTAAGTATGTGTATATTTGCAGTACTCCTGACCTTCGTCAACTGCTGGTCAGTGCGCGCAGCCACACGCGTTCAGGACTGGTTCACTTACGCCAAGTTGCTTGCTCTCTTCATCATTATCGCCGCCGGCATCTACCAGCTCTGTAGAGGTAACTTATCGTGTAATATCAACCAAAAGGTATTTAATACTGTAGGCGCCAGCGTATTACTTTTTGAGGGATGTTAGACTAATTTCGCTCCAGGGCGTCCATAATTGTAAATACGTCCCTGGATATACTGCTAACCAAACTTAACGTTGGCTCGCTCGTAATAGTGCACATATTTTAGAAAACCCGCACTAATTGTACCAACAGTTATAAAGTTGGAATCTTGTAATACAACCCTTTGTGTGACATACATTTTCGACGACTAGTCCCCTAGTGGTTTTATCTTAGCAATGTCCCCCTCTGAAAAGATACAGTTTTTTTATAAGAGAAAGGAGCAAAGCGACGGGAACACTGAGAGCTATAGACCATTCTGTCAGTAGTATTTTTTTATTCCGTATTTTTAATTAAATTAGACATTAGTGTATAAAAAAACGTGATATCAGTAACTCGTTAATTGTCTCCAATTAAAATAAACTAAAAACCTACAAAAATTATAATCAATACTAAATAAATAGGCCGTTAACCTGACAACTGATACATATTGTTCCGCTTATTTAAATGATAATAAAATAAAAAAAATGCCTTTAACTAGTAAAATGTAATATTTGAACGCAACTTTGACAGTTGAAGGTGACTACCTCTTGGAGAATAAAATATTTTTCTATAACCTTCAATAATTTTATTTGAACATCTGTCTTTTTATTTTTCATGTATTTTGGCAAATATTGACTTAATACTAAGAAATTATGTAGGTCATTCTTGATATATTACTGTAAACAAGCGGTCGCCCGCGACTCCGTTCGCACGGAATTAAAAAATAGCAGCCTATGTGTTCTTCCAGACTATGTTCTATATGTATGCCAAATTTTATCGAGATCCGTTAAGTCGTTCTAGAGATACATTCAAATATCCATCCATCCAACTAAATATTATATAGCCTATTGTATATTCTATAGACATATTAAAAAGGAATAATTCTTTCATAAATGTTTTTTGAATAACTTAAACCGTTTATGCAGCGCACGCAACGAAAGTCCTCAAATGTGAAAAAATTTCCCCTTTTTTGCAACATTCCTCACTGACGCTTCGCTCCTATTGGTCGTAGCGTAATGTTATATAGCCTAAAGCCTTCCTCTATAAATGGAATATCCAACAAAAAAAGAATTTTTCAAATCGGACCAGTAGTTCCTGAGATTAGCGCGTTTAAGCAAACAAACTTCCGCTTTATAATATTAGTATAGATCAACTGTTAAAAAACTAGTCCTAAATACAGTAGTTTTTAATATTTAATCTGTTTTATGAAATATAAGTTAGGTTAGTTATTCCTTTTTTTTTCGTAGTCGTTTTTCCTATAAAATAGAAAATAAAACCTCTTAAAGGAAATGTCGCGCACAGATGTCGCGACTATCGTTTCCTTGAGGACGTGAACCAATTTACATCGTAAATTACTCCTTTGTGCGTCCGCCATCAAGTGGATTTATTATAAAGCTTTGAACTGGATTACACAGTACTATAAAAATATATCTAGATATTATTAGGAATAAATACGTCTGAAGTCAACCGACCAGCACTGGGACAGCGTCATTGACTATGGCTTATCAACTGCAACATTTCTCTGGGGGGAAATACGACCTTAAAACGTACAAATTTTTAAAGAGTCATGTTAAATACAATCTTTTGTTCAGTTTTTCCAGTCCCAAAGTCTGTCATCAAATATAGCAAATTAAATCCACTTCCCGATAACTACATTGGTCAAAATCCTATGCTGCAAGTATGTTGGACACATCAGTTGGACCGACACATGATTGTGGAACATTTCACGGGAATATTAAATAATACGATGCAACCAGACCGCGCCGGATTGCGGCAATCATTCCATAAGGAACGCTGACGCACTAAAGCCGTCTACACACTGTTACCGTGCTAACAACTATCGAAAATTTAATAAAACTTTCTCATACTTTTTTAGAAAACAGAAACAAAATCATCGCGATTCAAATAGGTATCAGCCAACGCCATATTATGACGTCACAGCTGTCTTTGGTAGAGTCAGTAATACGCACAATAATTTACATTTTATGCATTTTATTTAACGAATAACGAAGTTTGCGATTTGTAGCCTTAAATTTTTATAGTTTTTAAATGATGATGTGATTAATAATACTTATTTATTCTTAACTCGTGTTATATTTAAGGTTATTGTTACCTATATTCGATTACTACGTAATAGCTACTTTATATTCATTAGATTAACGTATGCGAGAGACCTAATATTACCGAGGAAGTTTAAATTGAGTTTATTTTCAGAGACGCGATGACAGCAATTTTGTAACAATACTATCAAAGTATCGTCTATTTTACTTCATTATGTGCTAAAGAGCTATAATACATTGAATAATTTACCTTCATTATATACTAGATGTCGCCTTCAATACGTCCGTATAGGATTGGAAAAACATATTTAGTAGCCTATATGTTTTACCAGACTACGTTCCAAATTTCATCGAGATCCGATAAACGCTTGTGGAGATACCTACAAACAAAAATCTATCTAAACATTCGCATTTATAATATTAGTAAGATATAATAGGAAGCAAGATGAAGCCAGAAGAACTAAGAATTACACAGCCTAAAGTAACTCTGTTACCCCACGCAAGTCGTGGTAACAAAATGGCCGCCCTAGGAATATCGCCCAAAGCCCTGCTGTCCTAAATCCGGCCCTGCGTGAAACGAAAACTTTGTACACATTTTGAAATTGCGTCAACTAATGAACTTGAAAGACACAGTTAAGTTTCATATTAGTAATACATTGAAATTTGATCTGAATAGATCTATCTTGATAAAATAAATGACGCAATAATAAATACAGATTGATTGATAATAAACATTTTAATAGGCAACATTCTTTGTATTCGATATCATATTTTATAAATCTTAATCATTACTGAGATTTTTACCTTACTATTATTATACTACAAAAAATAATAGGCCCTTAAATTGTTTTATTATAAAGTTTTCTTGCTTCCGTAACTTGAATATTGTTAAATGTTACAAATACTATTGTTTATTTCCCAAACGTAAAATAAATATCGACAATTATAGTAAGACTAAATTTAAATTTCGTCAGCCGACCTCGCGCTTTGCCGTGACCGGAGCGAAGGCGAGTGAATGAAAGTGACCCTTTCAATATGACCCGATCAATCATTCACGTACCAACAGACCGGTATAACCTGTGTTTGCAATCTTACTGATTCCTTGAATACTTGACAGGATAAAAGAATGAAATTTTAAACGGAAAGAATTGTAATAAAAAGTTGAATTAATTAATGTTATCGTTTTACAGACGCAATCTTTATTCAAGCTGTTCATTATTGGTGAATTTTATACTAAGTGTACACTAAATCTTAGGACTATGTAACTTTACAGTTTGATGTGACAGTTTAGATAAAATTAAGACTTTGTTGACAAAAAGTAATTAGTTTTTTGTATTACCTTTTTAGGTTGTCATTTTATTGTCTAATCGTGATACTATTTCACATCCATATTCCGTTTTAACGTAAAAAAAAACAATTTAAACACAAGTACACAATATCGTTAAAAACATACTCAAAGTAAACGTTGTAAATTAAATTCAAATAATCTGGGAGCAAAGTTAGTGTTGCCAGATTGTAGAGTAAAATCTGACAAGCAAAATAAGAAATAGCACAAATTAGAAAATTGCTAAAATAAGTCCTTTTTAGTTTTATTAATTTTGTGTGATTTTATTTTCAGGAAAAGTGGAGCACTTCACATTTGAAGGGACTACGAGTGACGTCACATCCATCGCCCTCTCTTTCTATTCCGGACTGTTCGCATACAACGGATGGTAACTCATTAGATTTCAGTTTTTTTGGCACCTATACACATACTCTCCAATTACTCCACTTTAGTATAGCTCCACTGCTACTATACATAGTAAAAAAAGTATCTTTATGACCGATTGCTATATATGTATAACATGGCCGTAATATAGAGGAGTAAGCAGATAATACAAAATTTCTTCACGACAAACGATTCCTGCAAGGTCTTTTACATCTGTGATTGTTACCAATTCTTTGATTTTGCGATTAAAAGTCTAGATATAGTTGCTAAATTTTACCCTAATTCTGTAATATTATAGGAACTACCTGAACTTCATCATCGAGGAGCTAAAGGACCCGGTGAAGAATCTGCCCCGAGCTATCGCCATCTCAGTCGCGCTGGTGACCATCGTCTACACGTTCACCAATGTCGCCTTCTACACTACCCTCTCACCCACTGAGGTAACACTCATTTACAGTTGCGTTGTTATACAAAAGCCTGCCATCTTTGTCGACACTTCCCCCTTGTCTATTAAGTAATTCTTTTAAAGCATCGCTAAAATCCATAGCACTTTTGGTTAACATTCAAATACTTTTCTCGTTCATTTTTTTCTTACATATGTCAATTTTTGCTTTCAGGTGTTGGGATCAGCAGCTGTAGCGGTGACGTTCGCCGAACGATTATTCGGATGGTTCGCGCTCTGTATTCCATTGTTCGTTGCTGCTTCAACATTCGGTGCTGTCAACGGCGTACTCCTTACATCCTCCAGGTTAACATTTTTACATAGAATTCTATGAAAATTTTAATTTAAATTAGAAGACACTTTGGTAAGTGACGACTGCTCTGAATGGGTGTTTACCGTTGGGTCGATAATCCTACCGCTCATTGCTACAATGAGAATGTAAATTTCCATTAGGTCTATTAAATTCATAGAATCGATAGGTCAGTAGGCCGATTGCCCAAAGGAAACACCCCTGAGAATGGGCATTAACAAATGTGGAATGTGGAAAACAGTTAAAAAATGTGCTGTTTTATATCAGGTTGTTCTACGCTGGCGCAGCTCAGGGTCAGATGCCGAGCGCGCTCACCATGGTGTCAGCGCGAGCGACTCCGGCGCATGCCGTACTTGCCGTGGCTCTACTATCTCTAGTCTACCTCACAGTCTCCGATATATACGCACTTATTAACTACGTAGGATTCGCTACTTGGGTACGTTCAAATTATTAAAATAAGAAATAAGAATTAACTCATGATACAAATGAATTGAAGTGAAGGAATCAGACTTAAAAGAGGTAAAGTAGACGAATGGAGCCTAAGACAGTAAATCAACAAATCTACTTGTATTATAAGTCCGTGGAATGAAATCAGTTGCATAAAACCTCATGAGTCTTGTCATAATAATTGTTTTATCTTTCCAGCTGAGTATAGGCGCAGCAGTGCTGTGTTTGCCTGTACTCCGATATACAAGACCTGATCTGGAACGACCTATTAGAGTCAACCTGTTCTTCCCCGGTGAGACATGTGTTTTTTATAGAAGAAAGGTGCAGTGTTTTAAATATTGAGCAGATAGGGTAAAGCATATTACGTAGGACACGTCCTTTTGACATGGTTCTTTGTTGCTATACCCAATCGTGGTAATAATTTAGTTATGTTTTCAGTGATTTACATAATCTGCACTATCCTGGTGGTGGCGGTGCCCGCAGTGGCCTCACCCGCAGAGACTGGTGTCGGCTGCCTCATGATCCTGACTGCGGTGCCCATCTACTTGCTGCTGCTTGAGCCAAGGACCCGGATAAAGGCTCTTGGATCTCTCACCGGTTGGTATACTTTGCGATATCAATGGAAAATAACTTGATAGGTTAACATCGAATCTTTTACGCGATACATTTGTATTACAGCCGTTTTTAGAATCGTTAGGTGGCCCACTTAGTATGACTTTACTATGAGAAATATGCATTTAGGGTCTTTCTAAGTGACTAATTATTTGGAAGTAATAAACGTATAATTTTTACAGGATCGTCTACCAGACTTATGCAAAAACTGACTTTATCTGTACGTCCTAAAATAAAGGTGAGTGACAGTTCAGTAGATTATTAATAGTTTTAAATTATTTCCCAGTTAACAATGATGTTTTTTTCAGTGAAATGATCTATATTTGGAGAATACAAAGACATCCGGCCCCGTCAAACTGGATTACGAGAACAGTATTTAACATAACATAATTTTTATGTTAAGCCAAACAATAGGACATTCCTATATTATATTGCGATATATTTGCTATATGTTATAATGATTATATGTTGAGAGTATGGTACACACAATCGGAGTCACCATTGGACAGAATTCTTGCACCGCATACATGTTTTAAAAAAATTGTAATATTATTTAAATCATAAAGCTAAATCTACTAGATGCAGGCCGTGAGTAAATTACTAATAACTGATTCCTTTTTTCATTTATTAGTAAAATTTTAAAATATTGAAGTTATTTCAAATATGGTTAAGTCATTAATGGTGGCTCTTGTGATTTTACTTTTCATATGTTTATATTTCATTTTTAAAATATTGCCGTTGCTGTATTATAAAAGTATAATTGCTATGTGAATGTTCAAATTAGAAGGCGTTTGCTGTTGGACCGGTCAGCCTTCTCATCTACCCAATGGGATATTCTTCCATTGAAACAAATCCATACAATCAATCGGACCAATCGTTGATCGTTAAGCCGATCGGTCCAAAGGGAAACGTAATTAAAAGTAATCTCATAATCTATATATTCATATTATATACATTATTAATAGTATTCGTAGACGGTTTAAATGAAAATATGTGTGTGATGTTTTAAATATGCGTAATATTCAAATGTTGTTTGTTGATTGTAGTCATTATAATAAGAAAACTGCCATCAAATACTTCGAGCTTGGCAAATTATCCATCGCTTTGTCATTTTTTTAATTCGCATCACTTGAAAATGTATTTAGCGTTTACTTACTTAAAGATAATTGACGCCAAACATCTTTCCTAATCATGCGAATTAAGTACAATTTTTTAATTCTAAACAAAATGTTTATTTTTTATAATTCTAGTACTATTTGTCGTGATATCATAATATAAAGGGAACATTCCATTATTATTAATTTAAGGATATATTTGACATATATTCCTATTTTAATTATAATTTTGCCACAGAACAAATTTTAGTTTAGTTAAAGTGATAAGAAGAGGTTAGCCTCAAGACCCGAACAATCTAGAAACATTCCAAGTAAAAATACTGGTTTAAAAATAAAATGACGTTAGATATGCGTTAGTCATATGTTCCTAATTTTGATTTCACTATAATATTTGTAATTTGCAGTTTTGCGTGAATTAATTAAATCATGGCATAAATTATGCTTAGATTTCGTTTATAGCATTTATTTTTTTATGCCTTTTCGACGTGTCAATATTAAAAAGACAATACATAGAACTATATAGAAGAGCCGTAGCTTTTGTATGTTATATGTAGAAACTATAATAAGCTTTGTATGTGATTTATAATATGACTGAATTTCGTTAAAAAATCCTCTCTCTCTCTCTCTCTCTCTCTGTCAAATATTTTGTTTTTTTTAATGGTTAAAATTTTTCCCCAAATTTGGTTATGTTATTGTATATGGCAATTCCAAACAAGGTGATCATAGATTAGAAATATCATAGAGGAATAAAAACAATAAATCAAAAAGGACCCAATTAATTAGGTTTTTCAAACATATCATCCCGGAGTTTGTAAATTATTCGTAAAAAAAAACAAAATATAAACAATTTTGTGATTCACCTTCTGTGTTTAATTTAACGAAGTTACGATTGTAAAATGCATGTTTTCATATTTATTTTAAGTTAGACGTAAGATTTTTTTCTGTTATTATAAATAAACATGAAAAACTGAATTCACATAGTGTTAATTTATATAATGGCTGTGTTTTATTTAGTAATTTTTTTGTATAAATCCAAAGAATCTGCTCCAATTTATCGAAATTTTAATTTGTAAATGTTAACCTAAAATATTGATACAACTTGAAGTAATATTCCAAAATAACACTCATTTTATTGCTCATTTTTAACAGTACAACTATTTAATATTTTGCTTAGATTTGCGTTAATATTACGCATTTAAATGAGTAGAATTAAATGTGTCGTTGTTTCTGTTATTCGTTCGGCGATGTCTGGCAGATACAAAGTGACAATAATAAATTATTCAAGCAAAATGTGTTTTATTTGTCGTCTTCCTTTTTACGAAATATTTGGGGGGTCGAAAAATTAGGCATATACAAGGATACACATATAAGGGTAAGTTAATCAAAATGAGTTTCAACTAAAACCTGACAACTTTGTAAATAATGAAATTTTACCTGTTAATAAAATTTGTATCATGTTTCCTAAGACGTCCGAAGTCCATTTAAGAGAGAGTACATCGCTCCATTCCTTCCGATGCGCCCCATATGACTGCTCTGCCAGCGCCACGGCTGACACCAGCGCCTCTAGCGGACTAATCTGCAACTATAAATGCGGCACGCCAGTCCTAGGTTTTCAAATACAATAAATTTTCTTCTTGAAAAAGTACTTCACATGAAATTAGAAGATTCTATGAGAAAATTTCGACGGTTTTGAGTATAACAGTGTTCAAAATCAATAGATCATTAGCCGGCAGTTGAATCCTCAAGCTGGCCCATTCTCTTAGGGCACTCAACTGGGCGACTTTCAACACTCTCCGGGGAAAGTTGTGCACAATTTCTTATCGTCACGATTTCATGTCGAACAAATGCAGTCACAAAAATTCAAATAACCTATGCCTACGAGAAATGTCGTCATAGTAAAAAGAGCTTTCCTTATAGGCCGTCAACGCATCTGCAGTTCCTCTGGTGTTGCAGATGTCAATGAGTGTCGTTGATCACCTCAGTGTTGCAATGTCGAAGTACTGTCCCGTAGCACGCGCAGCTCAAAGACAGTTTTTCACGCGGACGAAGTCGCGGGCAGGGCTAAGTGTTTCATAAAAAATGTTATCTGTAATACTTTTACTCTTTGTTGAATTTTTTTTGACATCTTATTTATGACTTAAAGGTCTATGTTACCAGGTCATAAAATTAAAAAAAGACATCTTGCAGATGACAGTATAATGACATTGACAATCTATTTCGAAAACACGGTCGCGTGAGTGTTTTAAAATGGTTAAGTTTGGTAGAAATAAGTTAAAAGCTTTGAATAAGCAGAAAAGAAATGTAAATCTCAACAATGCTTCAAATAAGGTTATTAAAAAGTTGAAAGCGGAGAAAAAAGTGTCGTTTCATAAAGAAATATTATTGAGAGAAACCGCTAAAAGTGATGTTTTAGTGAAGAAAATTAAAAACACTGATCAAATTTTGAATGATTCATCTAAAAAGACGGATAAGAAAGTCAAGATAGAGGAGAAAACCGAGAAACCTAAACTAAAAGCTGTGGAAAAGCATAAGAAACGACAGAAAACACAATTACAGGATACGAAATTATTATTGAAGTTGATGAAAAACAAGTGATACGTTTGTTTCTGACACCAAAATCCCTGTATATAACATAATTTTATCTGGTTAAGGGTTGTTGATGTGTGTTTCCACTACTCATTTGTTTTATTTCATAAAAAAATAAATTCTAGCTTGATAGCTCTGAGAAAAAGTCTTGACAGACAGACGAATGAACAACAAAGTGATTCCATTAACATTAACCCCGAAAAGAATGTTTTGTTAAAGATATTGAAAGGGATGATATGATTTAAACACGGATTTTGATCTCGGAAACCAACAATAAATATTTCAAATATTGTGTACCCACAACCAGCATTCTGTTAATCTGTAATAAAGTCAAACTGTAAATCATTAAATTATTTAAAAAAAAAGGTTGTTTCATTACTTTAGAATATTCAAAGTTCTATGACTTTCGTGTATTATAGGATACTTAGTAATTTTCTACAATAAAACACTTATAGATATTTTAAAAAGTTTTAATATGTTCTAGATTACTAGACAAATTATTACTAATATCTAATGATGCCTAATTACAATTGCTAACAGTAAACTTATAAAAAAAAGTAATTATTTTCTACTGAAACTTCTTAACATAGACAAATAACTTCACACTTTCAGAGATTAGATGATTAATTTCACAAGTGCGTTGATTTACATGTGTCTGAGCAGTGAAAACTCAGGACACCTAAAATATATTTTGAAATATAAATACAAAAACATTAAATAACAGTTGCATAAAAATAACATGGTTTTTATATAAATGTATTGGCAGTTTAATAAAGATGTGAAAGCAAAAATTGCATGTCTCAAAAGCATATATCAAGACAACTGCAGTGCACTAGTTCTAGATTCTAGGAGTTGCTAATACAATTACTAGATAACTGTTGAGTAAAAACAAATATTTTACACCATATTTAAGCACATAACTACTTTAATCCATTGAAATTAAATATACAAAGAATAGTCTTTGAATATTCCTAAAAAAATTAAATGGAATTAATTTATAGAGTAAATTATAAAATTAAAATTCAATATATATAAAATTGTGTCACAATGTTAGTTACTATACTACTCTGAAATGACTCTACAGATTTTTATGAAATTTTAAATGCATATTCAGTAGGCCTGATTTTTTTTTATATCATAAGGTGGCAAACCTGAAATAGCGAAGTGACCATTGCCCATAGACATACGCAATTGCATATGCGTTGCCTACCTTTAATCAACTTAGGAGAGGAAGCACAGAAAGAAATTATTTTCCCTTTCCATGCATCGTCACATCCGGAAAGTCCAATTCCCTGAAGATCGGCTCTTTTAATCCTGCGCAAACGAAGTGGCGGGCGACAGCTAGTACAATATAGATATGAACAATGTCATATCTGGTTTATTAGTCGTAAACCAAAAATGTAAAAACAAGATAAATATAATTTTGCTGTCCTCAAAACAATATAATAGTTATTACTAATACCAGTCCCATTAATGTAGATTTAAGCTGTTGATTAAACTCTATTACTTACCGTAGGTTTCTGAGACCAAAATCCCCATTTAACATATCTTGATTTTGTTAAAGATAGTGACGGGGATGATATATTTATACAGAGATTTTGGTCTCGGAAACTGGTTAATATAAGCTTTCTAATTCTAATTAAAAAATAAACTGTAGTTATTTATAGACGATATTTTTAGTATGGTTTTTTTCTACACTAGAAAATTCTAGTGAATATTAAAATCTACAAAACCACTTATATTGTAAATAACCTACAAAAGTATAATTTTAAACTACATATTAATGACCTAAAAATACTAAGTCTACACAAATCTCTAATAGAAGTACATTATTCAGATATTGTGTTGTCTAACCTTGGGTTTCCACTGACGAAACATTACAAAAACATATTGACTTCACTAATTAAGTTACATCTTACTAATATTATAAATGCGAATGTTCAGATGGATGTTTGTTCAAAGGTATCTCCAGCACTGCTGCATGGATCTCGCTGAAATTTGGCGTAGATGTAGAACATAGTCCGGAAGAACACATAGGCTACTGTTTTTTTAATTCCGCGCGGACGGAGTCGCGGGCGGCTGCTAGTAGAGATATAACTATAGAACATATTCTTATTTGTTCTAACAATTTTAATATTGTATTGAATAGCAACTGAGTTATGGTTTCTTTTAAGTAAAATGATATTTTAATAACGAATTTCATTTTCATCGAAATACATGACCTGTTTTTACATTAATGTTGCAATCCGTTCCGCTGGTACATCTAACATTCTGTTCTGAGAGCTTAGCGTGAATATTTTTGACAAAGTATTTCTAACTTAACTTATAAATTTGTATTCGATTCCTACAGCGCACCCTCTCGGATATAATATACACTAAAATTATCATAAATTTTTACATACTATTCCGATGAAGTTACTAAAACGTATAACCTACACAAATATCTATAAAAAAACTATCACTACAATTAGGTCTGTCTGAAAATATGTAAAACCTACAAGGACCTAGAAAATTTAATAAATGGCGTGTTTTTGACATGCTACATGATTGTGAAACTTTTTTAACAATGACAGGACGTTAGGGGCGTTAGTGAGTTATAATTAGTTTAACCTATGCCCTGGGACAGATCCTTGTATATCGCAAATATTCTTGAGATTTTATGCGTAGTGTACGATGTTCCGAGCCTATAAGATATATGAAGATTACTATACATAAGTTATGACTACAAAAAAATCAATACAATTATCCATTACACGAGTTTCTTTATATATAATTACTTATATTATTAAAGTTATATTGTAGAATAATCTTCCATTAAACATTCATCATGACTTCCACAACTTTCATCCAAGGATGTACAATATTTTCATCATCCTCAAGAAGGCTCACCTTTACATAGACTTGATACGATTAAATACATTTTGGAACACATATAAATACAGTAGAATCTCGATATCTCGAATATAAAAACTTACAAGAAATTCAAGATATGAAGAATTTAATGTAAAATTCTTAGTAAGACTTTATTATACTTTACTAAGTAGCGTCGGTGGCTCAGTGGTCAAGCACTTGACTTGCAATCTGCATGTCCTGGGTTCGAATCCCGCCATGTACCAATGTGTTTTTCTATTTTCGATTTACATATGTACATTTATCCGACGTTCTTACGGTGAAGGAAAACATCGTGATGCAACCTGCACATATCTGAGAAGACAAAGATATATGTGAAGTTAACCCGCACTTGGCCAGCGTGGTTGACTATGGCCTAATCACCCTCAACTTAGGGGTAGACTCCGAGCCCCTCGGTGGGGACGTATAGTGAGCTGATGATGATACTTTACTAATAATAAGTTTTCTAGTAGAAATATGTAAAATGCCTACGCATGGAAATAACAGTTTGTTCAAGTTACAAAGTTTAATAATTTCAAGATGATTATTTTAGGGTTCGGCGAAAGGTAATGGCATTTTTTGACTCAACAAGTTTCGTGTTATAGATTCCAATGTATCAGTAAAGGCAGATAAAAGCGAAACAACTCGAGAAAGAAGAGACTCGCTAAAACTAGAGAACGACTGAACTTATCTTGGTCTTGAAATGTTCGTGGTGGTCTAGGGAAGGTTTAAAAGATAAATATTCGAATAATTGCCTGGAAATCGCTAAAAACAGCTTTTTACTCCCATATAAACGTTCTCTAAATAAAATATAGTCAATTTGAACTTTGTAGTTTATGTTTTTTGTTAATTCCGCGCGGACATAGTCGGGGGCGACAGCTAGTATAAAACATATTAAACAAAAGAAATGTAAAAGTGAGTGACAGTGACTGTTGAATAATTTTATATGAAAAAATTATTCACCAATTTATTTTAGTCTTTGAGTGATGTTCAAGGAGTTTTATACTATAGCTGCCATTAAATCAAAGAAAAAAGACGAAATTTAACTTTTGAATTTAGTAATGTCAGATCAGTTTTTCTATGTCTTTTTGTTATTCATGTTATATTAACACATTTTTGTGCAAACAAGAGTTTTTTTTATTTAAAGCCCTGTACAAGCAACAAACTGATTAATGACCTTTTTATTATATTACAAGGTGGCAAACGAACAAGTGAACACCTGGATTCACTGAAATAGCGATTCCGCTGTCCATAGACATTCTCAAATACAAAGAAGGAAGAATAGCACAGAAAGAGATCAATTCTCCTCTGTCAAATCCATTTTTCCTTCCCATCCTTTCCTTATAAGTGTGAGAAGGGGAAGAAGACTAAAATTAAGTTACCGGACCACACTAATCAGACTGCAGTTGGAACATCCACTTGACGTGTTCTGTGTAGTCGTGGTATTTCACTGGATGAGCCAATACATTGGAGAGCCACCGCTTTTATAAGAAAAGTAAATATACAATACTTAAAAGATTTCAAAATAGTATAGACAGTCTATTGACGACGTTTGCTACGTCTCGGTGATAGCTTTGATGGAACATTTTCTTGAGAATTTTTCTTTTCTGTTGCATCTTCCTCAAGTAATTTGTCTTCCTCAGCTTCTGTCTTTGCATCTGAAGAGGTTTCTGAAAATATACAATGTTAAATTTTATTATATATTTTCTGGATAAATTATCTACAATAGTTTATATGTATTTTATAATTTACAATTTAAATATTTAGGTATAAAAATGACGAAATAACACACATGATTTTTTCTCTCTTTTCTTTTTTCTTATAAATAGTCTCTACAAAACTATTAAATTTCCAAAGCAAAATAGGTCAAATGACAATATTATTTTTCTAAAATAACATCAGATTTTTTGTTAATTCACTAATATTTCTTGTAACATTTAAAGTAAGCTCTGGAGTATAGTTTACAATAATCGAATGATGGTATATGAACTTTCGACCACTTGATCGGAAATCCGTACACTTAACCATTGAGCTATTGGCGTTTCCGAAATTGAAATTACAAAAACATGTTTTCAAACAAAAATTATCGAAATTAAAACATGTTTCTTCTTTGATTGTTTGCATTGTGTCCGTTACTTTTGAATTGATATGGAAATTATAATTTGTATTAATTACCAGTTGTATTGTTTTTCTCATGATGCAATATCTCATCAACAGACTGCTCCCAGTCCTCCAGGTCTTCATCAGCAGTGTTTATAGCCACGTCCTCTTCTATCTTCACCTCAACTGCCTTCTCGACGGAGACATCACCTGTCACATTATAATATTATTAGTCTCATCTTATACTAGCTGTCGCCCGCGACTCTGTCCACGTGGAACCTTATTGGTAAGTAGCCTATGTGTTCTTCCAGATTATGTTATACATCTGTGCCAAATTTCATCAATATCCGTTGTGCCATTCAGGGGGATACCTTCAAACAAACATCCATCCATCCATGTTTATTGTTACTATATAATAAAAAAAATTATAGCACACATCCTTTACGTTTTTGACAAGTGGGAATGGAATTTAATTCTTTAACTGTATGAATTTGTCTTTAGAAAATATAATTTTCTTTGACTGTACCTTTATTAGCTGCTTTTTCTCCATTGACATCCGCTTGGGCTCCTTCCCCTTCCTCGTGATAGTTGTCATGATCATCCTCTGTGTCCTCATCGCGCGAGGTCTTGCGCCGCTTCCAGTTTCCACATATTTCCACGTTCATCTGACGCTTGCTGCCTTCTTGAAGCTGAGGGAAAGCAATTTGAACAAATTAGAATAGAATTCCACTGACTTATACTTGGATATCGTATATCTTGGTTAAATAAAAGTTTTTATTATAGACAAACCATAAATTACATAAAAAATTATAAATCCCAAAATCTTTACTAATATTATAAAGCGGAAGAGTTTGTTTGTTTAAACGCGCTAATCTCAGGAACTACTGATCCGATTTGAAAAATTCTTTTTTTGTTGGATTGTGCATTTATAGAGGAAGGCTTTAGGATATAAAACATTACGCTGCGACCAATAGTTTTTTAAATTCTATTTAGAAAAAGCTTTTATTATGTTCTTGTTAATTGGAAGAACTACAAAAAAATAAACGTTAAAGTAATCGTCAAGAAGATTCAAACGAGACTAAACTTAATCAAGTTATGTTATTTCATTACGAAGTTCCTATTGCCATCTTCCATCTTCAAATCAACACCATGTCATCATAATATCGTGCGATTTACACATATATACAAAAGTTCCGCTCAATCAGCAACCAGGAAGTGGATTAGATTTAAATTAAAAGATTTGATGACAAACATCGGGACAGGTAAATAAAAGCTTGTGAAGCATCAAAAATGGGATGGGGATAAGTGGGAAATTTTACATTTCTCTGTTTTAAAAAATTATTTTTAGTATCAAAGCGAAGAATAAAGTATAATCACCTGAGAATTGGACCTTGTGATCAGTCGTATGAATAACTGATGATGTCTCCAAGTCTTGAGATGTACTTCAGCTGTCTCCTCGCTGTCCAGCAGCTTGCGGCACAGGCTGCACTGCACACAGCGGAACTCTGACAGGAAGGAGCGACCTACACCGCGCTCAGTGCTACGAAATACAAAGAAACATAAAAAAAAAACAAGAAAAAATTCAAAAACATATTATATATGTGAATGTTTAGATCTTTGACCAACCAGAACTGCTGCTTAGATTTGAATGAAATATTTATTTAAATTCGATATTATATAAAGACAATCCTATTTTATTGTGCACTAGCTGTCACCCGCGACTCCGTTCGCGAGGCATTAAAAACAAATTAAATAAGTAGCCTATGTGTTCTTCCAGACTACATTCTACATCTGTGCCAAATTTCATCAAAATTTGTTGAGCCATTCTTCAGATACCATCTAACAACATCTATCCATCCAAACGTTCGCATTTATTATATACAAAATATATCTATGGATGGATATCCATCCATCCATAGATATCCTTTCTGATCTTTCTTATCCATAGATTCCTTCTGGAGATACATTCAAACATTCATCCGAATGTTTGTTTGAATGTATCTCCAGAAGGAACGAAGAAAAAACTTTTTAGTAATCTGTGTCGCGTGTATAAAAATCGACATATTAATAATATTATAAATGCGAAATGTTTAGATGTTTAGATATATAGATGTTTGAAGGTATCTGCAGAACTACTGAATGGATCTTGCTGAAATTTGACATACATATATGACGGACATAGTCTGGAAGAATACAGAGGCTACTTAAGTTTTTTTTAAATTTCACATGAACAGAGTCGCGGACGACAGTTAGTATAAAAATGATAAAATCTCACCTGTACACGGGTATCATATCTTGTGTGACATTGGACAAATCATCTCCCTCTTTATAATCCAATATAGTAGTTTCTCCATCCAAACCGTTATCTTCTTTCTTAACTTGCACTTCCTCTGTGGTAGTTTCACTCTGCACCGGCTTGTCTGTAGCCTTCTCCGCATCCTCATCACCTACACTCTTCATCTCAACATCACCCTAAAATGCAATCCACATTAAAGTGTCTTACTAAAAAATATTAATACAAATGTTTGGATGGATGTTAGAAGGTATCTCTAGAACGGTTGTATGAATCTCGCTGAAATTTGACATACATGTAGAACATAGTCTGAAATACATAGGCACTAATTATGTATTTTTTTAAATTCCGCTCAAACAGAGTCGCAGGCGACAGCTAGTATATTATAAATTTAACAGTGGTAGACGCTAATAACATCTGTTGCATCAGTAGGTCTAGCACGGTTTAATATCATGACCACACAGAACTTTCACCTTAAGTCGAAGCAATTCCTTTTCCTTCCTACCTTTTTCTTATAATGAAAGGATGGGAAGGGGACGCATAGGAATGGAAACATTGCCTTTCTGTGCGTAACACATCTGCAATTGCCGATGGAATTGATTGCTTGTTTGATACATATCTTTCGAGGTGGTAATGTTTTTATGTATGAAGGTTTGTCTGTTTGTAACATTGTAGGGCTGCAATCAGTTGTATTTTTAAACCATACCTGATCATCAATCTTCTCTTCTTTAACAGTCTCGTTCTCTTTATGTGTGTCTGGTTTCTCAATTCGTTCGACACGCTCCGGACGACGCCAGCGCTCGCGATCCTCACGTAGATAAGATTGTTCCATGGACATTGTTGATATCACCATTACTACAAGAAAATGGTACATTACTAAGGCATTACAGTTTTCGGTCACTAAGGGCGACCCTCATGTAGTTTTTTTTGTCTTGTACTTGCTATGAACATACCCATGAAATATGTATCAATTTAATAGACATTATTATAATAAAGAATAACTGCTTCACTTATCTTGGTTTCTGAGACTGAAATCTCTGTATAAAACACATTCTTATCTTCAATACTCTCTTTTATACAAGAATTTTAGTGTCAGAAACATTACTTTGTTAGTAGTCTGAGTATTGTCATTAGTATGAGAAATCTACATGTAAAAGAAATTTACATAAAAATACATTAAGCAACCAAATATGTCCATCAAAAAATTAATAATATTCTAATTATAGCACAATTGATTGATTGAGGATACAACAGTAGGGGAACTGGACTGCTGTTCTAGAAAGAGATCTGTTTGGTGAACAAAAACTGGCGCGTTAACCCTAAATAAATGGCATAAGGACAGGGAGATGATGACAACTAGATTGGAAGTCTTACCTTCAGGTTTCGGCTTGGTCACCACTTCTTGTTTATCCTGCATATTCCTTAGATGTTCCGCTGTCAATCTATGTTCATCCAACTCGATACGTGTTGGCATTTCCTTATGACAATATGTGCATGTCGGATGTAAATATTTCTTAAGTTTACGATGACCAACTGTTGTCCTGTGTATAGCACCGTCTGCTGCATACATATCACACATCGCGCAATAGAAATCACGAGGCGGTTGCTGCCCTATTTTCCTTGTGCGTTTCATTTCACGAATCTGTAAATAATGAATATTATGTTTAATCTCTACTCTTTTTTTTTAACAAACAAACCATCTCAATTCGCAAAAAATTTTAATCTACAGAAGAAGGGATGCATAGAATAAGGACATTTCCCATACTTATGTTCCTTCCACCCCAAGTCGATTTCCCCATCCTACGCTTTTTTTATAAGGACAAAACTGTGACGAAACACTGACTTATTTCCACTTGTCTCGCGTCTTTTGTAGTTGTTGGGTTTGGTGCTGTAGGTTGTAGTATTATACAGATTGAGAGGCCCATTCATGCAAGATGTTGCGGGCTGTACTACTATTAAATACATACATTTCTCCTCCTAACATGAATTACAATATTGCTATTCCCCTTTTAGTTTATTGGAAATAACAAATATTCAGTCACTGTATGTATTAATGCATTAATTAAGAAGTAGTTTATACCAGACAAATAAGGCTCTTTTCATAGGAAAACAACACTACAAGAAAATCTACATTTTATGTGGAGCGGGCAAACTTTGAAATATACAATCCAATTATCTTAATTCTCACCTTGATCTCCTGTCTCATAGTGTCAGCAGTGAGGGCATAACTCTCCGCTGTCTTCTGCATCATGATGGCATGGGCTCTACCACTCAGGTGATTCTCAAAGGACCGTCCATCCCACATACTCTTGTTACAAATATGGCACTTGAGTAGTTGAGAGTTGATATCGTCATAGCGGGTCTTCAGAGCTTCTTTTCTCTGTTCGCTTGTTTCTGATTTTTCCCCTGTCTCTTCTTTCTCTCCTTGATCTTGATCACTACAGCATACTTATTTTGTTAGTCATGCAAAACTATGTATGTTGATTTAAAAAAACATATTTGCTTCAGACAATTGAAAAGAACTTTTCATGTTCTAAAATTAGATTGTGAGAGATTTGTTTGATAGTTAAATTGCTTGGAACAAGATATTTGTATTCTAGAGTTTACAAAATCCATTTATGGATCAAAATGGTGTTTGCTATATATTAAATTTCATAAAAATTATTTATTTCACAGTATGTGCTATATGGACGGTAAATTTCATCAGTGAAGATTTACATTATTAATTGAATTGTGTAGATTTTGGTTCATACCAACATCATATGATGTTGGTGGAAAATATTGCCAATTGGGCCAAAGTGTTAGGCCGGTGAACGTTTGAATGAGAGAACTAGTGTGAAAGTGGGCCAAGGCGGTTTCAGAGATGCGGTACAACCACCGGAAGGAATCCTTACCTCTCCTTAACAGGCTTAGCCTTTGAATCGGCATCCTTTTTCGGGGAGCTCTTGTTTTGATGCCTTTGCCCATCATTGGGCCTGAACGGCTTACGATTCGTGTTGATACGCTCACCAGCTCGATTATAATTTCCCGTACGCCGGAAATTACCCTGATTGCCCATCTAAAGGGAATTTTTATACATTAGTAAGGAAATTGTTAGGCTCTGTAGCCTTGCGAAGGTGCACTGTAATTTGAACATATAAAGAAATTATCACAGGACAATGGCAACAAGTTTAGAGCCATCGAACGTGTTTTGAACGCAAAAAATAAAGGGCTAGAATTCCTGGAAGAAATTTAATTATCGAAAAGAAATAAAAGTTTTCAGAAAATTTGTGGCGCGGTATAAATGATGGGTATTATATTCGGATTGGGTAATAATTATTGTTCACATTGAGGACTTAGCAATGCAGGGTACAAGTTTGTAATTATTTCTTTGGTAGGTAAAAATTCATAAAATTGCTAGAAAAGGCAAAAAAAGCATTACTAAGCTTTTTATAAAAGCTATGACATCTAAAACATACAACACATAACATTAAAAATAAAAAGCAAGTAAATCTTCATGTTTCACTTTTATATTTGTATTGATCATGGGTTAATTTTTCCAGCAAGATTTTTTTATCCATTTCTTCTTTTTAAACTTAAAAAAGAACCATACCTTTTAAAATTCTTGATGGCCATTAGTATAAGTTGATTATGGTAAAGAAATGTATTAATGAATAAACTTATCTTTGAGTTGCAGACCAGATATCTTATTATTTAACAGACTATAAATTATCTAATTCGGTACTTTCTTGATTTATTTTTAAATGATAAAATGATGAACAATTCCATTAAAAAATAAATATTGTCTAGTTATTTTCTATACATTAGTAAAAACATATCTAAATATGAGAATAATTTTCTGTGTAGACATGAAATTAAGTTAGAAATATGCATAAAACTAATTTATTGTAACTGTTCATATTTACACTAATTTATAATATGATGTCTAGACATAACTTTTCATCACTAAAAGTAAAAAAAACATTAAGTGATAGCTTAAAGTTTTTAAATTATGTATTTTACTATTAATACATACCCTATTGGGTCCAAAACCGCGGTCATACCGACCCATATTGGGACCGAAGTCTCGTCGTATAGGCATGTCTAGGAGCGAAGGCACTGGATTTTGACGAGGTTGCAGAAGGTTGATGATGTTACTGGCCAGAGCTAATGTCGCCTCAGTGGAACCGCCAGCTAAAGGTAGCAGGTTCGGGATTCCGCCGCCCGGCCCGGCGCCTTGCCACGGAGACACGCCACTACGCCCAAAGTTCTTCGGCCTATCATTTCGGCCGAAATCCATACGACGCCCGTTGTTCTGCGGTCTTCGGTTCGCCATTGCAGTCTTTGAGTAAAGTATATTATTATTGAACGGTATTTTTATTGTTATTGAAATGATTCATCATGGCGGACTATTGTATTTGGCGAAATATACATATAATTTAGGTTGAACTTAATAATGTTGTTTATAGTTTGGAAACTTGGTGTTAAACAGTAAACAGATTTAAAATAAATATTAAACTTAAATAAAAGTAGCGACTTGAAATGATCCGCTTATCTGTCGACGTACCATCGATTTTTTCTGAACGTATGATAAATTACGGTATGATTAATACTCACCGAATTAACAGAAGTGTTTAGCGACAAATCGGAGCGGATTTTAAAGTAAATTGAAGAAATTGTAATAAAGCTAAAATTACAAGAAAACGCAAAACGTAGAAGCAAAGCGCAATAGATTGACAATTATGCCAAAAAATAGCTCGTAAAATGGCGGCTTGACCATTTCGGCATAGAGTAAATACATTTTTTTATTTAATCAAATACGCTTATTTCGGTATTTTGAAGAATGTTTTCCAACAGAAACAGCAGCGTTGGGCACACGTTAATAGAAGTATATTAGAAAAAAAAACGATAAAATCTCTTATTTTTTACAATAAAAATTATCTTCAATTTAAGGGGTTGTCATTTTTAATTTAAATTTTATGACCTGGTAAAGGGATTGACAAAGCAAAGGTGGGCAAAGAGTGCACGTCAAGGGGATTTGAAATGTCAACCAATGTCAACTGTCAACATATTGTCATTTGTGTTTTCAGTTTAGCAATTTTCGCTATTTTGATTTGGAAAAGATAAAATACCACGATTACGACGAAAACAATTAATCAAGTATTCGATTAAACATCGTTGTTTGCGCTTGATATATCAAAATAGTGCAGAATTTACAGAAGTAATTACTGCGTATAAAAGCTTAATAATGGAAGACTGCGAAAACGAAAACGAACACATAAAAAGAAACAAGGTAAACGATTATTTACTAAGCGTGGTTATTTAAATCCATTTAATATTTAAATGTTTGTCTTAATTAACCGAGATTCCATCTTTATATTTGACTTAGTCTACAATTTAAACGTACTTGAGGAATAATGGAAACATATGTGCGCAATGGAAATGGAATATAGTTTAAGGAGTATGATGCCGCTACACTGTATGATTTGAAGATAAGTTTTAAAATAAAATAATCTTAAATTTCAGGACCGCAGCCCATCCCCTGGCATCAAATCCACTGCTGTAGTAAAGTATACAGCTTTCCAGAGTCCTGTAGGGTATGCCAGACTGCAATGCAATACTGACCTCAACATGCCTCCTTCTAATTGGGGGGCGGCTATTGACTCGTATGGTTTGAAACAGATATTGACTCGAGGAACTGGGTTTTCAAGGTAGTTTTTTAATAATTTTATTTTAAACATATAAATATTGTAGTGAAGTAGATGTGCTGGCCAGCTGTTCTAGTTTTTTTTTTTAAATAAAAAATGGACTTTTCACACAAGATGTTCTTGTAATTACAGCTTTAGAATGGCCCACATGTTTCCCGACTGTGTGGGAGAAGTGGATGTAATATCTGATGCAGAATGCATTAAGAAACTGCTAAAGTTGCCCTACCAGCCTAACGGAACAGTAAGCATTTCTACCATATCTTACTTATCATATTAATGCGAAATTTTAGATGTATGGATAGATGTTTGTTAGAGGGTGGCAGAACAGTTTAACAGACCTTGATGCAATTTGGCACATACTTTGAACAAAGTCTGGAAGAGCACATAAATTACTAGCTTTGCCTGCGACTCCATCAGAGCGGTAATTATTAGATTATGTGTTCTTCCAGACTATGTTCTACATCTGTTCCAAATTTCAATGAGAACATGCAGCCTGGAACCTTGGAACAAACATTCATTTAAATTTTCAAATTTATAATATTAATAAGAATGTATAAAAAGGCCTGTGTTTTTACCATATTAAGACATAGCAATTTTTTTCAAATATATTAAGTAAATTAACCAAAATGTATTATAAACTATTTAATTTTTTCCCATCAGGTCAGCATGATGGTGCATCGAGTGGAAAACACATTACTACTTGACGATTTTGATGTGTATGACTATTTGATGAAGTCGGAATGGTCTTGGCTGAAAGATTTCTTTTACGAGAACATAGTCAAGACTATGTCAGAACAGGTAACCTACAGATAATTTAATTATTGTCATGTAATTTTCATTTACATTTATGTTATGTTGATTTGTTAGTCATTTATGTTATGTTGAAAATTTAATTTTAATTTATGTTATGTTGAATCGTTATTTTAATTTTAATGTTATGTTGAACAGGAAAGGATGTCATTGACTCCCGGGCCGGGGGCCCGACAAGCGTTGCAGTTAACTCAACAGTTTCTTTCACATAGTGTGGTGGAGCGTCCTTCACCTTTAGAACCCCCTGTACATGCAGAAAACACACCAATGTGTCTTGCTGGTAAGTATTGTAATCTTCATATGTTGGTACGCAGCCAAAATACTTTTATTTTCATTGTTTAAATACTATGATAAAACTATTTATATCAATTATTTCATCATGACTATTTACTACTACATCTCAATGTTGACTTTTTTACTTCCCGGTCAAATCTTTTCCCCTATCTTTTTCTAAATAAAAAGGCAAAGGTTGTAGTGGCCAGTATGCCACCTTTTTTGCAGAATGCAAACTCCATGTCCACCAAAGAGATCGGATATACAATTCTTTTTATGAGTTAAATATAATCTTGAAATGATTTCCTTTTTTTTTACAAGGGTTTTAGGTACTTTGATAATAGAAGCTACATTTTATTTACAGGTCCATTTCTACCAGAGCCAGAAACAAAAGTAGAAGGTCCTCCGAATGAGCAACCTTATAATAGAAATGTACTTTGGACATTTGAAGACATACATATGTTAGTTGGCAGTGATTTGCCAATATTTGGTGATAAAGATCGTCCATGTGTCAGTCTCCGTTTAAGAGATGCAAGAGATCCTATCAATGTATTAACCGGGATTGATTATTGGTTGGATAATTTAATGTGTAATGTCCCGGAGGTGTTGATGTGTTATCACTTAGATGGTATTGTACAGAAATATGAACCAATGAAAACTGAAGATTTACCTAATATGGAAAATTCTAAATTCTCACCCAAAGTTATAAGGAATGTTGCTCAAAATATATTATCATTTTTAAAATCTAATGTCACTAAAGCCGGACATACATATTGGTTGTTTAAAGGGCCACATGATGATGTTGTGAAGTTATATGATTTGACATCTTTGTGTCCTGACAGTTTGGATAATCCGTTCACAACACCGGTTGCTATGTTATTATATAGAGTTGCTAGGAATATGAGATTGACTAACAGGTCTCGACATGTTAAACAATTGTTGGAACATGTTGTTAAGTTGTTGAAAGTTGAAAGATATCCGCAGATTGTAGCTTCTTCGCATTATATGTTGGCTGATTTGTATGTACCGGCAACTACTAATCCTGCGTCTCCTGATTTTAAAGGTATTCTTAATTACTATGCTAAATTAAACAAGTAGGCTATATGTTCTTCCAGACTATGTTCTACATCTATGGTTAATTTCAGCGAGGTCCATACAGCCGTTATGGAGATATCTTCTAACAAACATCTCTCTAAACATTCGCATTTATAATATTAGTAAGATTTAATTTAATGTATATTTTCAAGCCATACTTATTCCGAGTTTTAGTTACTTTAGTAGCTTAAGCTTACTGTAGATTTTTTAAGATAAATCTAAGCTATAATTGATTTAATTACTTAATTATTATATAATTCGGTTTCACTTTGACTTTAACTTTTAACCAATTTTTTTTCTTCCAGATGAGAGTTCAGATTCAGAGGATGAAGAAGATTTTAGTGAGTTTGCGAGAACGACTGGTGATAATGACCATACGAGTGAAAGAGATGGAGAAAGTGATACTAAAACGTGTAAGAGAGATGAAGACAGTGAAAAAGTCGAGATCACGAGTGAACATTCAGATAAGGTAAGTCAATAATGATATTAAATTGATTCATTTTAAATATATATGAGTCGCCATCTAATTCATCAATACATATTAATTTGTGTGTCTGTATGTAATATATATATACACGGACAGATACATATATATATACATATATATTTCGTACACATGTATTTTCGTTGTTGATAACGAAAAAACTAATTTTGGAAATTTTTGTCTGTCTTTATATCTGGCCGTAAGGCTACGTTCCTGGTAATCTTCGAAACGGTTATACCGATTTAGACGGGACTTTGCCGGGAAGGAAGCTGATGCACGCGGGAATATTATAATATAAGCTACTTTTTTTTTAAAGACATCGCTGACAAAGTCGCGTGCGACCACTAGTTATAAATAAAACCTAATTTTCGTGAGGTGGCAGCTGTGATACATGTTTAATTTGTAATTCAAGGAGGAAGAAGCTAATGAGGCTGGGGAAAAAGAAGAGGAAATCAAGAACAATGGTGGCCGTGAGTTGGCTTTACGACATATCGGAGACAGAGTCAAAGATACAGCACCTGTATGTATTTATTTATTATTTAAACACTATATGTTTTTTATTATTCTATCACATAAACTACGGGAATTAAAAAAAAATATTTCGATTACTTAACATATGAGTACAAAAAACATATGAATCGAAAAATTGAAAAATCAAATAATAATTTTTTCGGCTTAGAATTTTTTTTTCTTTTTTGTTCGTATTATTCTATATCATTTTGCCATTGTCAATAATCATTTTAAATAAACAAGTAAAAAAAAAATTATATTTTAAAAGCTGGCAAGTGCCCACTTGAAGTCGTCAAAAATAGTGAACAGACTTGCCATAGACCTAATTTTCATAGACCAAGAAGGTGACGCATATAGAAAGATAATTTAGCCCATTCTATGTGTTTCTTCTCTGCCAAATTCATCTCCCCTTCCCATCTCTTTCACATAAGAATAAGTGAATATTTTACTTAGGACGCCAAAGCGAAGTCATCAAATATAGGCGGTCTCGGTGTTCAAGTACCGGAGCGATGTGGTCGCGCTCTGAGACATGCTCTGCGCGGCTTGTGTGCACTTCATCATGTTACTATCGGCAGGAACAAGGTTTTCTTGATTTTTTTATTGTTTTGTCGCTTTTTATATACTTATAGTTGTTATTAGTTCCTAAGTTGAATGTTATGGGAGTGACATGTTCAAAAGAACGAAAGTCCCTAAAAAAAAAAGAAAAAAGGTTCCAAAAAGAACATATAAATGTTTACTATATAAACAAAATAGCGATCGACTGCGACATAAAAAAGAGTAATTAGTAGTCTATGTGTTCTTCCAGACTATGTTTTATATATATGCCAAATTACATCAAGATCTGTTCAGTCGTTCTGCTGATATCTTCAAACATTCAAACAAACATGTAAACA